AATTTTAATCTTATTCTTTCTTTTACTTCACATGGTGGGGGTCCCATATGGTCCCCATTAACTTCTTTTCTTTCTTTCATTTTTGCATATAATACTTTGCATGTAATAGTAAGTTTCACATGCACATCTCATATTCCACATAATCTAACTTTTCTTGTTTAATAAATTCCCATTTAACTTCAAATATTGAAATTGCAAATGAGTCTTCAAACTTTTCCTTATTTACCATGTGGCTCTCTGAACTTTTCATCCTTCACAATTTGGTCCTTCCAACATTTCTTAAATTTCAATTTTTTCCTATTTTTCTTTCTTTATATGTGTACAAATATAATATAAGATTTGCACCTCATCAAGGTGTCACCATAATATTTAAATATATACTTACCCGCTCTAGCTTTTCTTAATAAAGGCACGCAGGTGTTAGTATATGCCCTTGAGCCAATTACATTGGTCAACGAATATATATTATCATTTAATACATATTTAATTGCATAATTATATGTGATAAAGATTTTCCTTCATGTTAGTGCAATAATAAGGAGTTATTAAGTACTAATTGGATGAAGCCCATGGAACATAAAGGCCTTACAAGAGAATTATAAAGTTATAATTATGAGATCACTATACATCAAAGCTATATTCTTAAAATTGTTCCTAGACATTGAATTGTCAAGATAGGGCATTGACAATGCTCAAAGACTGGTACATATTAAGCCTCCTTACTTGGAAAGTAAGCAATTGATCTCATAGATTGAAGTATATGAAATACTTGAGAATAACATGTAAGTGCTTGTTAAAGAACAAGTTCACTGAACATGATCCTCTATGAGAACTTCATTTGGTATTTCACTCAAGTGTCTATGAAAAATATTTTCATATGATAGTTGTGCAGCTAGTCCTTAAACTTGAGATACCAGATCATCTTGTATTGGGAAACCCCTACCGGTTTGAAAGTAACCAAATGCCTAAACAGTGTGATTTTGGGTATGCCATGAAGCATGCGAAGGTGAATGAGTGGTCAAGAGAGGATTCATCACCCCAAGTGATATGAAGGGATGTATCTCACTTGTTCTCAATTCTTGATTAACTTGTATAAAGTCTTTGGCCAAAGCATGATGGATTTGAGGCAAGTTAGTTTCCTAAATTCATAAGGTTGGTCATGAATTACGAGAACTAATATGGATTGTCATAAGTTGACACTAAGCCATGCTTAATGACATATCCGAGATATTTGATGAAAGGATCGTATTGTACTAAGAGGCTTATCACTGAAGGGCTTTGTCAAAATCTTTAATTGACTCTCTAACATTTAGGAGATCATGATGTATTGCTAAATGCTGCTTGTAATCTATAAATATAAATTAATTATCCAATTGATATTTGATTATGATTTATATTTATTACCAACATGTTATAAGCTTAATGGGTCACACACATTAAGTGATATGATTGGGATTAAATAAAGATCATTAATTAAGTTAGACTTAATTGAAAAAGATCAAAACAAAGTAAAAAATTAATTAAGTTCTTAAAGACTTAATTAAATTAAAATACAACTGTTGTATTTAGAGTTACAAATTAGTTTGGCTATATAACTATGATATATTAGCAAACTAAAAAAACTTAAAGCCTCCAACCACTTTCAGCCGTTTCATAAAATAAGAAAAAAAATAATTTTCTTTATCTGAAAAAAAAAAAGATTCAACAAGAATTTTTTATCCTTTTGTTTCAGAAACAAAACTTGCTAGCACAAGTAAAATCCTACCTTTGAGAAAATCTTATTCAGTCACTATGTGGATTACTATCAGAGGCCAAACACTTGGGTAGCTAAAGATTTGACAAATCCTATAGGTGAAGAAACAAAGATTTTAGATTTAATTAGCTCTTGATTACGATATCTAAAGCAAAGTATGTAACTCCCAAAACTTATGAGTGTTTATAATTAATTTGAAAGTTACATGAAAAAACACAAACATTGATCTTATAGGATTCGACTGTTTATCTTATTAAATATTATTTTATTTTTTTGCTGCGTTATATTTTAATTTATTGATTATTTTTCATGTTTGAGCGTGAGGTCGAATCCCAGCAGCGAACCCCACTAATGTCATTTTTCTTCAAAATTCTTTCTTGCTTCTTCTATCCCATTTAGATTAGTCATATAATCCTCCTTCATAGCTAATCTCAATAATAATTAAAATATTAATATTTTAATATTATTTTATTATTAAAATTTTTTTTTTTTAAATTCTCCATTTGTCTCCTCAAGTCTTAAAGTGTTTCACTTTGCCCCGATTCACTTCCAAATCACTTTTTAACCTATAAATTCACCCTCGTTAAAAAAATATTATTTAATTATTATTTTCTCACGTACGAAATATTTTATTCCAAAGTATTCCTTTCGACCATTACCGCTCTTTGGTACTTAAACTTATATCAATTGACCCTTTGCCTTGTCAATACAGTCTTATTGACTCTTATACAAAGGTACGCGATGTTACATCTAGTCTCTAACATACTTTCTCAACATAAACACATGAAAAGTGAGATTTACACGAGCTAGCTTCGATGTTAACGCTAGTCGATATGCAGCTAACCCAATTCATTCCAAAATCTCAAAAGGCTCGATATATCTCAGACTTAACTTCTCTTTCTTCCCAAATCTCTTACTCTGTTTCAGTGGAGATACATTCAAAAACACAAAATCTCCCACCTATAACTCCAAAGCACAACGCCTATTATTTGCATAAGACTTTTGTCTACTCTATGTCGATTTTAAATGTTTCCTCACCAAGCTTACGACATCGAGTGCTTGTTGCACTAAATCAGGACCTAATAATTTCCTTTCTCCCACTTTAAACCATCTAATGGGTAATTTACATTTTTGTCCATACAGCACTTCAAAAGGAGCAATTCCAATACTAGTTTGGTAGCTATTATTATACGTGAATTCCTCCAAAGATAACTGATGATTCTACATAATTTCTAAATCCAACAGTATTAACCTTAACATGTCTTCGAGCATTTCCATTACGCACTCTAACTAACCATCCATTTGAGGATGATAAGTAGTGCTGAAATCTAAACGAGTGCCTTAAGCTTCATGTAACATCTTCAAAATTTATTAGTAAATTGAGGCCCTCGATCAAATATTATAGTCACAGGAACTCCATGCAATTGCACGATGCAGTCAATATAAACCTTGGCGTACTTAGTCAACCCAAAACTAGTTTTTACCAAAATAAAGTGAGTAAATTTGGTTAACTAATCCATGATTACCTAAATCGAATTATATCCCCCTCTGACATTGGGCAATCCAATCACAAAATCCATAACTATGTATTCTAATTTTCACTCGGGAATCGGTAGAGGTTGTGACAAACGTAGGGATTTCCCATGTCCAACCTTAACTTGTTGACAAGTTAGGCACGTGGCTACATATTCAGCTGCATCTTTCTTCATTCTTTGCCACCAATAAACCATTTTCAAATCATGATACATCTTGGTGGCTCCTGGATGTATAGTGCAAGCAGTGACGTAGGCTTCCTCTAAAATCTCTTACCTCAAATTATCTTGATCTGGCACATATGTTCAAGATTTATACTTCAACAATCTGTCATCTCCACACATAAATTTTTGATCTCGCTTTTCAGATCTTAAGATTCTCATTACAAATTCATCTTGATCCTGGGCACTACGAAGTCGATCCAAGATCAGTGGTTGTACTCTAAAATAAGCAATAAGGGGATTAGGCCCACCAATATCGATCTTGATACCCATATTGCCTAAGTTTCGCCATCCACGCAATATACTTTTTCGTTCAATAGACAAATGTGCCATACTCCCTATAGATTTTTTACTCAAAATGTCGACCACCACGTTCGCCTTACCAGGGTGATATTGAATGGTACAATCGTAATCTTTGAGCAATTCATCCATAAGCATTGCCTTAAATTAAGATCACATTGTTGAAATATATAATTTAAACTTTTGTGATCAGTATATATTTCAAAGCTTTCCCCATATAGGTAATGATGCCAAATCTTTAATGCAAATACTATGTTGCCATTTCCAAGTCATAGGTAAGGTAGTTTTGCTCGTTCCTCTTAAGTTGTCTTGAAGCATACATGATAACTCTACCATTTCGCATTAACATGCATCCCAATCCAACTCTTGTCATACCAATGTCAATTGCCACTACAACTATGTAGAATTTAAGTTTCTTAGAGAAGTTCCCTTTATTATCTACGGACATCAAAGCTCCTGCAATAAGGGAATATTAACGAGAGTCACTAGGGTGGAAATGGGACAATTATTTGACATGCATAGTAGCCAAAGTAGATGCATTAATGGAGGAAGACATCTCGACTATTAAAATGGTGCCAATAGTTAACAAATTTGAAGATGTGTTTTTGGAAGAATTGCCAAGGTTGCCCCCTAAAAAGGAGGTTAAGTTTTGCATTAATTTGATTCCTGGCACGGAACCAATATCCAAAGCTCCTTACCGGATGGCACTAACAAAATGTGAGTACTTCGAGAACAATTGCAAGAGTTAAGGGGGAAAGGATTTATTTATCCAAGTACTTCACCATTGGGAGCTTCGATACTATTTGTAAAAAAGAAGGAAGGAAGTTTGAGGTTGTGTGTGGATTATCAAAAGTTGAATAGTGTAACTATCAAGAACAAGTACCCACTTCCCAAGATCGATGATTTATTCTATCAACTACAAGGAGCGTGATATTTCTCAAAAATTGACTTGCATTCTAGGCATCATCAATTAAGAATTCGAGACGAGGATATACCAATAATGCATTTCCTATGAGGTACGAGCATTTTGAGTTTTTGGTGATGTCCTTTATTTTAACCAATGCTCCCACTGCTTTTTATGGATTTAATGAATAGAGTATTTTGAGGCCTATTTGGACAGATTCATGTGGTATTCATTGATGATATCTTGGTGTATTCTCGAAGCCCTGAAGACCATGCACAATATTTATGAATGGTGTTGCAGACACTCCAAGAACACGAATTATATGCAAAGTTTTCAAAGTGTGCTTATTGGTTAAAGAGCGTTAGCTTTCTCGAACATGTAATATCAAAAGAAGGGAATAGTATGGATCCGTAAAAGGTTGTGTCAACTCAAACTTGGTTAAAATCTAGTACGGTTACTAAGATTCAAAGTTTTCTTGGATTGGCCAGATATTACTGTCGATTTGTATAGGATTTCTTGAAAAGATAGTTTACCAAATGGTTTGTATAGGATTTGTATAGGACTACTAAATGTAAAGATAGTTTCTAAAGATTAAAAGTGTGTTTAATCTCGACACCAATCTTAAGTTTACCAAATGGTTCAGGAGGTTATGTTGTGTATTGCAACACATCAATAGTTGGATTGGGATGCATGTTAATGCAAAATGATAGAGTTATTGCATACGGTTCAAGGCAACTTAAGAGGCACAAGCAAAACTATCCTACTCACGACTTGAAAATGGCAAAAATAGTATTTACATTAAAAATTTCGCATCATTACCTATACAGGGAAAGCCTTGAAATATATACTGATTACAAAAATTTAAAGTCTATATTTCAACATCATGATCTCAATTTAAGATAACACCGATGGATGAAGTTGCTCAAAGATTACGATTGTACCATTCAATATCACCCTAGTAAGGTAAACGTGGTGGCTGACGCTTTATGTAGAAAATCTATGGGGAATATGACACATTTGTCTGTCGAACAGAAAACTATAGTGCGTGGATGGTAAAACTTAGCCAATATGGGGATTAAGATCGATATTGGTGGACCTAATGCCCTTATTGCTTATTTTCGAGTACGACCAATGATCTTGGATCGAATTCATAGTACCAAGGGCCTCAATTAATTTGTGATGAGAATCTTAGAATCTGAAGAACAAGATCAAAAATTTATGTATGAAGATGAACTATTGAAGTATGAATCTCGAACATATGTGCTAAATCAAGATAATTTGAGGAAAGAGATTTAGAGGAAGCCCACATCACTGCCTACACTGTACATCCAGGAACCAACAAGCTGTATCATGATTTGAACATGATGTATTGGTGGCAAGGAATGAAGAAAGATGTAGATGAATAAGTAACCAAGCGCCTAACTTGTCAACAAGTTAAGGCTGAACATGGGAAACCCCCAAGTTTGCTACAACCCCTATCGATTCTAGAATGGAAATGGGAATATGTGGATATTGTGACTGGATTGACTCACGTCAGAGAGGGATATGATTCGATTTAGGTAATCGTGGATCAGTTAACTAAATCTACTCACTTTATTCTAGCAAAACCTAATTATAGGTCGACTAAGTATGTCAAGGTTTATATTGACTTTATCGTGCAATTGCATGGAATTCCTATGACCATAGTATCTAATCGAGGGCCTCAATTAACTAATAAATTTTGGAAAAGTTTACATGAAGCTTTAGGCACTCGTTTAGATTTCAACACTGCTTATCATCCTCAAATGGAAGGTCAGCTAGGGCGTATAATACAAACGCTCGAAGACATGCTTAGGTCAATAGTGTTAGATTTGGAAATTAAATGGAATCGTCAGTTATCTTTGGCAGAATTCACGTATAATAGTAGCTACCAATCTAGTATTGGAACGGCTCATTTTGAAACGTTGTATAGACAAAAGTGTAAATCACCCATTGTATGATTTGAAGTGAAAAAAAGAAAATTATTAAGTCCTGATTTAGTGTAATAAGCACTTGATGTGGTGAGCTTGGTGAGGGAACATTTAAAATCGACACAAAGTAGACAGAAGTCTTATGCAGATAATAGACGTCATCCTTTGGAGTTTCAAGTGGGAGATTTGATGTTTTTGAAGGTATTCCACTAAAACAGAAAAAGAGATTTAGAAAGAAAAGGAAGTTGAGTCCAAGATATATCGGACCTTTTAAGGTTTTGGAACAAATTGGGTTAACAACATATCAGCTAGCCTTATCATCGGAGCTAGCTCGTGTGAATCCCACTTTTCATGTGTCTATGTTGAGAAAGTATGTTAGAGACTCGACACATATCATACATTACAATTTAGTTCCTTTGGATGAAGGATTAACTTTTAAAGAACAACCAATAGCAATATTGGATTGACAAGTGAAGTCATTACACTCTAAAGAAGTTGCCTCAGTGAAGATCTTGTGGCAAAATCGATAGTAAAAGAGGCAACTTGGGAACCTAAAAAGGAAATGAAGAAGAAATACCCACACCTTTTCAAGACTAAGGTATGCATTACCAACCCAGTCCATTTAAATTCGATGACGAATTTGCTTTAAGTGGGAGAGATTGTAATGCCCTATAACCTAAAACAATAGTTAATATGACTTTAAGGACAAGATTAAGCCCAATTGAGGCCAATTAAGGAGTTTAGGAGTGGTAAAAGGGGACAAGAATATTTTAAAATAAAATATTTCATGTGTAATAAAATAATAATATTTTATTAAGATTATCGTTATGGAGTAAAAAGGAGCGATAGAGCTAAACCGGGATAAATTAAAATGATTTGAAACCCCAGAAGCTAGATGAAAATTTTTGAAATTAAATAATATTTTACTAATAAAATATTATTAAAATAATATTAAGATATTTCTATTGTGAGTGATGGACGAACTCACATAATTTAAGCATTTAACTTAAGTGGGGGAGATATAATATAATTTTGATAATTTGATGTATAAAATATTATTTTCTTCATTCTAGAATATTATTTAAATGAGCGAAATTTTAGTGATGTAAGTATTAAAAATAGTATATGTGAATTTGGAAGGAATGGAGACATGGAGAATTAATTGAGATAATGAAGATATGTGGGATAATGAAATGTGCATGTGAATTCACTATTACATGCACAAAGGGGAAAGTTAGTGAGAAACATGTGGGCCACCATGTGAAGTAAAAAAAAGAATAAGAATAAATCTTATTGCATGCAATAAGATTGGTGCATTAGGTGGCCAAATGAGGAAAGAAAAAAATATGGGATGCACGTGACTTGAATAGCTTAATGACTGACCAAATAAAATATAAAGTAAAGGTTGTGCATGAAATATGATTGGATGAATAAGGTGGTGCATGAAATAAAAAATGAAGAAAGAAAAGATGAGGTAGTGAAGGTGGCGGACGGAGAAGATAAATGAGGATAGATATTTGACCAATGAACAAGGGAGAAAATTGATGCATGAAAATTGAATGGGTGATGAGTTGG